GACATATAACGAAACCAATTTTACTGTAGGCTAATTGATATAAACAAGAATGAAGTTCCTACAGCATCCGGTCAACATTATAATGAAATGAAGTTGAACAAAACCATGTTATTCAAGGACCTGTTGTATTTAAATTATAACCTCCAAGAGCATGGCTTCCCTGAAGAGGGAAGTGGGGAGGGATATGCTTGTTAAGAGCATAGAGTTGCTTTCGAGAAAACTTTATCACATGACTATGTTAATGAACCATCACTAACTTTTGAGGGTTTCAAAATAGTGACATCCACTGATAAAGCTACCTATGCTTTGTTGACAAAAACATTAACATCAAAAAGAATGTGTCGGTTCTCTCTTTTGTTTTTAATAGCAATACATTTGTAGGAATTTTTAGATGGTTGCTTAATTTTTCTCGTCATCAGATGTAGATAATAGGGAGGCTGAGGAGACATATTTTTGTGTTGGGGACTCGAGGTTCAAATCCCCTTTTGTTTAGGTGGATGTAAGGTGCCACTGGGTTGGTGGTTAAAGCATCCGGATCGAGTGTGCTGGCTAGTTTTTTGAGTCATCAGAATCATGTCCAGTGCTTCTGGGGTCACTTTATTGTTTCTCTAAAATTCATTTGCATTCATATGGGACTTCTGGCCTGAGTGCTTCAGAGGATGCTGCAAAGTATTGAACTGAGATGTCTTCCCTCTTTTCATTAAATCGAAACTTAGAATTGGCACCAGGCTATGGACATTTAGTGTGGGAGGCAAATGATTACAGGAAATGAAGAAACGGATTTCAGCCTCGAATTTGCTTCCTCCCTGCTGTGGCAAATGAATGTTGTCTTACTAAGGACTTTATGGAGCGGTGGTATTGTCTTTTCTGCTGCAGAGAAAGGGATTACTAGTACAAGTATTCTTAGGAAGCCGTCGTTATGTTTGAGTTTTATTTTGTTGTTATTGTTGCTCTGTGGGAGTGGAAGAATTGGAGAAATTTTTTCCTGTGTTTCGTTTTTTGTTTAACTTTACAAGTTCTCCAAATTTTCTTCTACTTAAATTTTGAATTTGGTACCTGGTGTTTCCGGGGTTAAATTGAAGTTAGACTTGTGCCTTGGGTGTTGTGCTGTCTCTAAACTTGAAATTTCTCTAGTGCCCTGGAGAGGCCTGTGGGGAGGGAGCGCCTCATTCCTCAGGCTTACTGGAGGGAGGAGGGCTTGGGTTTGAACTTCAGTTTGAATCTTGATAACCTTACTCTCTGGCTGCAGGTCCTTGGGGGAAGTTGCAGAGTTAATTTTTCTTCTGTAAAATGAGCACTATGAAAGAGTAAATGAAATAGTCTATGGGAAGTTTGGCACAAAGTGATGTACAAAGAAATCTTAGTTTTCTTCTCCTCACACATGAGCCATTGCCTTCTTCTTTATCACATCTTTTCAAATTCGCCCCACACCAGGGAGCACAGTGACTTTCCCTAGCTTGGGTTACTCCAGCCTCCTTTTGAAAACCTTTTTCATGTTCATGGGTGGCTGGGCCTGGGCCCTGTGGATGTGTGTTGGGCGGTGGGGGAGGGGTGCTAATGGGTTCACTAGTCCTGGATCACTATGACTACAGTGGGTTCCTATCCATTTGGTACCTAAGTAGTTAATGGTCATTGCTAGCTAAAGACTGTTAATCGAGGGGTATATTCTTCCCAATGGGACTGTTAGCACATCAAAAGCATGTTTTTAAAATCTCAGTAAATACTATATGTGTGTGTGTGTGGGGGGGCAGTAATTAAGAACCATTTGTCACCCAGCTCAGCCCAATAAACATTTTCTGTTATGCTAAGAAACAAGAACAATCTAAATTTAAATGACTAAAGCTGTGCCTTTAGCAAAGACTTGAAGAATGTGGATCTTAGTCAATCTGTGAAAATCAGGATGGTAGAAACCTTTCTGGAGACACACCTTTGAAATTCGTTGTATATATGTTATCATCACAGCTTCAAGTGTTAAAAACCAGCAACAAAACAATACTTTCAAATCTCTGAATTACCTTTGTTAATTTAGAAGGGACTTCATATTTCATATTTAGGAGGGCAGTTCAAAGTTGGGTATCATTTCCCTCAGCAACAAAAAGTTCTTACTAGGTTTCAGAAAGTATTTAAAATATTACACTATGGTAATAAAATGTTATTTTTAAATGATCATGTTCTTTGATAAATATGGCTTGAACAAGTCTGTCTTCTGTGGGCCCACCACCACCCTAGGCGTTTGTAGTTAGAGCAAAACCCAAGGGGTCCGGCTCAGCAGGCACCTCGGGACCCGGTCAGCTGGGAGGCCAGAAGATTGGACATGGACGGCTGGGCTGCCGAAAGGAGCCTGCTAACCCAGCTCCGCCCTGAAGTTTGCTTGGAGGGAAGGGGGAGGGAGTGGTTAACTTACTTTCATGTAAGTGATATGTGTTTTCTATACAAAAAAAAAAACAAAAAAAAAAAAAACAAGCAAACAAGAAGCAGAGCTAGCCAAAGATCTCTGAAAATAAAACCCAGCCTTGTCCTTCTGCTATCCCATGCCATTCATTTCTCCTGAGCATACAGGTACACACAGAGAGGCCAGTAGTCTCAAGTCCATGGAAGCCTGGGCCACCCCACTGTTTTTGACATCCTGAAATGTGCTTTTTAAAGTTGAGGAAACACCAAAACAAGACTACAAAAACTATGGTGTATATCAATGTATATTAACATATAGGTATCAACACAAAGGGGCCATGACTTGTCGGTGGACTGCATCTGAAGATAGTATCTCAAGTACAATTTTGAGGCTGGGGCCAATCATCTTCCTTTCCACGCACCTGTTTCCATGGTAGGGCTCCAATGAGAGGTTGTCTCAGAACACAGATTTTCATTAGCAATGTAACATGACATCTCTTTCAACAAATGTAATTCTATGTCACTTTCATTGCTGTAGAGCAGTCCATTGGATGGAACACAATATATTAAGTCCTTTTCTTGGACATTTATCTCTTACTCTCTTTATGATCCAGTACCATATGAATATTCTTGTACTTGCTTCTTTGCACATTTCCTTACTTATTTCCTTAGGATGAATTCTGAGAGCTATGTCTGATGGGGCAAAAATGTATCCCTATTTGTAGAGTTTTGAATTGTTCTTACAAAAAGGCAGCCCTCTTGTTTTTAGAAAGGAAAGCAAGTCCTCCAGGGAGGGCTGGAGTGCAGCATTACCCTAACCTCACTGCCTCTGTTTTGTTGTCATAACTTCCAAGTAGCAGACAGGGCTTTGTGTGGAGTTCAGAAGCCAGTCCGGCATGGTCAGGCGTGGGCTTTGCCATGACTTTTCAGGGTTGGGGTGTGTGAACAGATAAGCTTTGAGGACAGATGCTGAGAAATAAGCTTACTCAGATGGAATTAGATAGAGTCACAAGGGTCTGGGTATGAGTGTGGCTGGCTGGCTGGAGTAGAAAATCAAAATTAAAGAGCGAGTTGAAATTTGGATGCCACAATAGGACCAAGGGGACCCCATCCTCTCTCTGCAGTGTGAAGAAGGCTGCTCTGAGGCCTGCTTGATTCTCAGCCCCACCCATGCCCTGCAAGAGTCCCCAACATTAATCGTGCAGCAGCTGCTCCACTCTCCCTCACTTGTAAGCCTCACTCCACTTTGCAATGAGTTATAGCAAAATATATGCTCCAGTAGAATCAAGTGGTGAAGACTCCAGACAAAAAGAACTGATGAACATGAAGGTTCTGTCCTGGGTCCCTCTTCCAAACAGCCCATCCTTTGAGGCCAGCTTATCAATGGCTAACCAGTTCTAGGCTCCTGGCCTTGTTCACTGGAAAACCAAAATCTAAGAACTCTACTCTCGAGTCCCCATTTGCTCTAAGTTCTGTTTTTAGCTCCTCACCTCACAGACAGATTTGGCCCTGCAACCTTTTTCCTTCCAACCCACTCTGTTTCCTCCCAAACAATTTCTAACTCAGCATGCCAGAAACAATGTCATCAAAGGCAGCACGCCTGGCTGTTCTCCCATCGTCCACCCTTCCACTCGAATTCCTCTCCCACTATCCCTCTCTGTCTAGTCCAATCCTGTATCTTTCCAAGCACATCCCATATTCTGTCTTCTTTAAGAAGTCTTAGCCCTCTAGCCTTCTAGCCTTCCTCTGAAGCCCCATAGAATATGATCATGACACATACATTCCACTGTCATGTAAATGACACCACATAAGTGTGTGTGTGTGTGTGTGTGTGTGTGTGTGTATTTGTACCGCATGAATTTAAGTTCCTTGAAGGCGAAGCTTATGATTGGTTCACCCTGCTCTTCTGGATGTTGAGAATCACTGTGCTTTACTACAGGATACTGATTCCATGAATGAATGAGCAGTGAAGAAATGGGAGCTGATGGATAAGTGAGGGAGATGAAAGGAGCCTGGTGGATAAAAGTTTATTTTAGCCTTGGCTGGGTAGCTCACTTTGTTGGAGCATCATCCCATACACCGAAATGTTGTAGATGCAGTCCCTGGTTGGGGCACATAAAGAAGGTAACTGATCACTGTTGCTCTCTCAAGTGGATGTCTGTTCTCCCTCTACCTCTCCCTCTCTCCCTCCACCCCACCCTTTCCTCCCTCCCTTTCTTCCTCCTTCCCCCTTCCTCTCTCCCTAAAATCAATAAACATATCCTTGGGTGAGGATTTAAATCAAAAGTTTATTTCATAGGAGTGTGGTGGCCCCATTTCTCATAGGAGGGACTTAGGACAGTACTCTGATTGGAAAGGGGCTTCAAGCACTTCATAAATGAGTGAGACAGCACTTGTCAAAATAAAAGAATGAAGACAAGGGTTGATATCATGGAAAAGAGCTCAGCCCATCAGGCTCTTTGACATTCTTCCTACATGTATGTTTAACTTTCTCTGAGTTTAGTACTTTCTGGTTTTGTATTATGGAATGTTTTGCCTTGATTAAATTATATCCCGCTGTTTCTGAAAGACAGAGTATTAATAACCCTTGTCACTTCTGCTTCTTGCAGGCAGCTATGGTCCTGAGCTCCGCACACTTCTGGTTGGGATTACTCCTGGTGCCTACTGCATGTCTGATCGAAGATGTGGCATGGAAAGCGTAAGTGAAAAATGAAGTAAAAACCCTAAGTCTTGCTCATCTGTCCCTGCAATTGTCCTTCACAAACTCTATCATAGGATATGAAATGCTATGAGACATCTGGTCTCCTGCCACCTGCCAGTGAAGGATGTAAAGGGTGTTGTGTTTGGTTTTTTTTCCCCCCTTTTAACCTGTGCTTCACCTTAACATGAGAATATAGACAAAAAGGAGGAGTCCCAAGACAGAACATGGGAAGGTCAAGAGGGATGCTCCTTGTACATGATTATAAGGGAGAGCTTCTAAGTACAGACCCATTCCATCAGGTTTAGGAAATATAACTCAAAATTAATTTTTCCTTATATCTAAAATCAGTGCTAACTGATCACAAATATAACCTGGCTTTATGGAAAATTGTGTCTGTGAAAGTCATTTCAAATTGCAAGATACTTGGAATGAAGTATTCTCATTTTTCCAAATAATTCACCATAGGAATCCTTCAAATATAATTCTGAAGTGTCAATTTACAGGTATATGAGAAAATTAACCACAAAGATGAAATTATAATGTAGGTTAAATAGGAAATAATTCATGCTTAAATTTTGTTTATATGTTTTAAAATATATTATTTCTGAAATATCATGTATACAACGTGAAAGAAGCAACAAGGTGATGCAGATTTTTATTTCATCCATAAACAAAGGATGGAATACTGCAAATGAGATCATATTGATTTTTGAGTTCAGTAGGCCTGGTTCCTCCTACAAATTGGTGCCAACCTCTCTGAAAACTGAGACTCTTGCATTGGCTTTACTTTGGGCAAAGCATAATTATTTGGGGGCCCTGAGGTAGAGAATTGAGACGTAAATCCAAACCTTCCAGGAAAAGACATCAGATTTCATCTTGCTCTCTCCCTCCCTCCCACACTCAATGAGAATGTTCTTGCCTGACAGTTAAGGATGTCGTTTCAAAGAGTCTTCATTTTAGCATGATCTTGACAACAGATGGCACCTAATGCAGACACAGAGAGGAGGAGAGACTATTGTATAGTATGTATTTTGGTTGTTTTTTCTTCTGTTCACTAAGTTTTACAACTGTTAGTAAAAGTTAAATAATTCTAATTTCTTAAGTGCTCTGATTTACCACTGTTTTAATTTTATCTGCTAAAACTGTGTTTTATAAATAGCAGAATCTGAAACTTTGGAAATGAATTACAGTCAGAAAAGATGTTTTCTTAATCAAATAGTGCACTAAAAGAAAATGTTGGTTCTGTTGTGGCACATAGCTCAATTGTGGAACAATGTATTACCTTGCTGAATGTCATCACTTTTGCAAGGTAATCAAGTTAGTTTTAGGTCCTGGCTACAGTAAATGACTTTTCAATTTATAGTGATTGACAATGGTGATCTGACTGTAAATTAATCTCAGGTTATTTTATTCAACTACCTTAAATGAATGTCATGAAAAAAATTTTTAAGTGAGACTGTATATTTGCCAAGTGAGACTTCAGCAGACGTCTCTTTCTACCATTTCTAAGAGGATGTTTTCAAATAATAGTGTCTCTGTCTCCTTGTCTATTTTCTGTATCTTTTCCAATATGTTCCAAGTAAAAATTGTTCCTCATCGGAGCAATTATCTGTCCTTCAAGCAGGAATATTATCTATTCCTGACTGCTGGAACTGTCAAATTAGTATCATTTACATTTTAAAAAGGATAAATTAAATGAGCCTGCATCCAGCTCCACCATATGGAAAGAGTAAAAGTCACTCTCTTTCCCAGAAACTTGCCAGCAGAATAAGAACTCTGTAAAGATGGCCATGATTGGGGCAGGGCAGGGGTGGGGTGTCGGGGGGCGGATGATCAGAGACCGGCCACTCATGGAGTCCTACCTGCTGCCCCTCACCCCAGGCCCGGACACAGCCCTTTCCAGGAGACACAACACCTGTGCTTTGGGCTGAACTGGAAGGCCCTACTGACTTCCAGAGGCATTTCCTGAAATGTGCTTTGTCTCTGTCTATTTGGGTGAATGGGAGGATGGGCACATATTGGCTCCCACCTGGAGTGGTTGCCCAAAGTATATGCCCAGTTTTTAATACATGTTTAATGTCGAAACTACCTCTCTCCTCAAAAACAGTCATTTTACAAGTTTATTTGAGCATTTTCCACTGACCACAAGGCCTAGGTTTTAGCTCATCATTATAGTTCCAGACTGAAATATTTATTGTTGAGTCAAGTAAATCCACAGGCTTCTCCCAGGAAGAGAAAGCATAGTATGAGCTGCTTACCTCTTATGAGGCCATGGCACTGTACTCTGTGTTGTCTTTCTGAGCCTCAGCTTTCTAAAACATGTTCTGTTTTTTTCTTTCTGCCCACTGACCTAAAAGGTTAATCCTGCATATCCAGATCCACCCATCATTTGGTTCAAATTGTCAAATATTTACTGAAACATGGTGTGCTATGATGCACCTTGGATTTGAAGAAGAATTTAAAATTAAGTGGATGAGAAGTAAGGCATAACTGAAGAGCTTGTGCTGTGATGGCGACAGATGGCAACTGGGAATCTAGCAGTTCTGTCACAGTTCTTCAGTCTTGCCTTAGACTTAATCTGAAGTGTTTTTTGTTTTGTATTTGAATTTTGGTGGTCAACTATTTTGAAAGAGCTGTTAAATTCCAGCACAAGGCAGGCCTGCCTGTTCCTGTATTTCTGTGAGCACTTAAGAAAGAGTGTCATTCTGGAGACTTCAAGATAGCGGAGTGAGTGAAAGTCACACTGACCTCCTCCCAGGACCAATCTGGAATTACAACTAAATTGTGGAGAAATCACTTGGAAAACAACTGAAAAATAGCAAGAGAGGACCCTTGAAACCTCAGACAGACAGAGGAATCAGCTTTAGCACAACATAACTCATAGGGAGTACGGTAGGGGCTCAAGAAGATGGACTAGGTTCCCATGGGCAGCAGTGCCAGAGGGATACTGAAATGGCCAGTTTGATCCCCCTGAGAAGAACAGGGTCTAAACCATAAGTGGGGATCTTCAGCCTACAGCACCAGAGCCCAAAAAGCACACAGATAACAGTCAGGTGTGAAAGCAGCAGGGTTGCTCTCCACCAGAGACAGATGGCTGGAGATGCAAAGAGCCATTTAAAGGGCAAACAGAAAAATTTGTAGTGGCATACCTGGGGATCCAGTGGAGGGAGGGGCAGAGTGGGCTGGAGCCCCCTGAGGAGAGACTGGGGTGGGAGGCTTTGGGAAGAGACCTGAAAAAGTGGATGGCGGGGTCCCAGGGCTGTCTCACCCACCCCCCCATTCCACAGCTGCCATCTTGCTCAGGCAGACCACTCCCCTGAGTGGCAGCAGTGTGAAATGACACAATGACCCCAGGAGGCTCAGCCCCGGCCCCAGTGTTGGGCAAGCCCAAAGCTAAATGCAGAGCAGCAGTCTCAGATAGTGACTGCCTGGATAATGGGGATGCAAAGTGGTCTAGAGATGCCTGAGGAGAGACTGGAGACAAAGGCATTGGGGGAAGAACTGAGGGAGTAGGCAGGGAGATGCCAGTGCTGACTCCACTCCCATAGGACAGCAGCCATCTTGCTCAGTCAGACCACTCCCCCGAGTGGCAGCAACATGTAAGGGCACAGTAGCCCTGCCCACAGGAGAGATGGTGCCCAGCCCTGACTGGTGAAGGCAGAGTGACTAGATTAACAACTGGAGGAGACAGAAACAGAGACAATAGATTCCTGGAAGTTGCTTAAAGACTGCCTAAGGTCAGACAGGGTCAACAGCTGACATCATCAGAGGCAGATCCAGAAAGAAAGGGAAAAAAATAAAATAAAGTGGTCTCCTACCATAGAAGTTTACACCACAAAGTCAGGAAATCAAGACAGAACAATTTAAGAAGCAGAAGCAAAAAAGAAGTCTTGCAAATAATGGGGAGAAAAAAGAAACACCCCCCCCCATCAAATGAAGGGAAAGAAGGAATCCCCACAAAGAGAACTAAATGAAATAGAGGCAAGTCAACTATCAGATACTGAGTTCAAAAAACGGTTCTAGGGAAGCTCAGTGAGCTCTGTGAGCCAAGAGAGAATTACAAAAAACTACAGGGAAACTATGAGGAATGTACTACAAATAGAATCAGCATGAAAAAAGACAGAAAATATCAATAAGAGGCAAGAGGAAATGAAGAATACAATTTCTGAATTGAAGAACACAGTAGAAGGACTCAAACGCAGGTTAGATGAAGCTGAGGACCGAATCAACGAGCTGGAGGACAAGGTGGAAAAAAGCTCCCAGAAAGAGCAAGAAAATGAGAAAGACTCAAAAAGAATGAAGACGCACTTAGAGAAATGCAGGACAACCTAAAATGTAATAATATCTGAATAATAGGGATACCAGAAGGAGAAGAAGAGGAACAAGGGATAGAGAACCTGTTTGAAAAAGTAATGATGGAAAACTTCCCTAATTGGAGGAGAGAAAAAGTCATGCAAGTCCAGGAGGCACAGAGGCTCTCATTCAAGAGGAAACCTATGAGGCCCACTGCAAGACACATCATCATTAAAATGGCAAATCTCAAAGACAAACAGAGAATCCTAAAGACAGCAAGGGAGAAAGAGGTAGTAACATACAAGGGATCCCCGATATAGCTAGCTGCTGACTTCTCAATAGAAACACTACAAGCCAGAAGGGAATGGCAAGAAATGTTCCAAGTCATGAAAAGCAAGTGTCTGCAGCCAAGACTGCTCTACCCAGCAAGGCTATAAATTAAAATGAAGGGCAAAGTAAGGAGTTTGCCAGACAAAAGGAGGCTAAAAGAATGCGCCTCCACCAAAACAACATTGCAAGGTATGCTAAAGGGACTGCTTTAAGAAGATGAAGAAAAAGAATGAGAAAGGGAAGATCACAGATACAAAGGGAAAAAATCAATAAGTACCTATCAATAATAACTTTAAATGTAAATAGATTGAATGCCCCAACCAAAAGACATAGGATAGCTGAATGGATAAAAAAATGTGACCCACACATATGCT